AATTAATGTGAATAAGAAAAAGATGGAAAGGTAGCAAATAGATAACCTAACATCATGGGTCAGGGAATTGAAAAAACAACAACAACAACAACAACAAAAACTCAAAAAATGCCAGGCAAAAGAAATAACAAAGTTTTGAGTATAAATAAATAAAATAGAAAATAAATTAACCATACAAAAAATAACTGAAAGCAAAAGCTGGTTCTTTGAATAGATTAACAAGATAGACAAACTATTGGCTAGACTGATCAAGAAGAAGAAAGAAAGAAACCAGATAAATCAAATACGTGATGAAACAGGCAGCCTTACAACAGACATAATAAAAAAACAAAATTATCATTAGATATTATGAGTGACTATATGCAACAAACAAGAGAACTTGGAGGAGATGGACAAATTCTTGGATGCATCTAATGTACCAAGATTGAATCAGGAAGACATAGAAAACCTGAATAGATCGATAACAAGTCATGAGATTGGATCAGTAATAATCTCCCAACAAAGAAAAGCCTAGGTCCAAATGGCTTCACTTCTGAATTCTACAAAACTTTTAAGGAAGAGTTAATCCCTGTCCTACTCAAATTATTTCTAAAGATTCAAAAGGAAGGAAACTTTCCAAATTTACTTCACGAAGCCTCCACCATTCTCACTCCCAAAACAGATAATGACATGATAAAAAAGAAAACTACAGACCAATATCGTTCATTAATATAGATGCAAAAATTCCCAACAAGATACTTGCAAATCGTATCCAACAACTTTATATCAGGAATGCAAGGGTGGTTCAACCTAAGAAAGACCATAAATATAATACACTATATTAACAGAAAGAAAGATAAAAATCCTATGATCATTTCAATTGATGCAGAAAAAGCATTTGATAAAATACAACATCCTTTCATGATTAAGACCCTTATTAAAATTGGTATAGTAGGGTCATTTCTCAACAAATAAAAGCCATCTCTAAAAAACTTACAGCTAACATTATACTGAATGGGGAAAAGCTACTAACTTTTCCACTAAAAACTGGTACTAGGCAAGGCTGCCCACTTTCTCCACTGCTTTTTTAATATAGTGCTGGAAGGCTTAGCTAATACAATCAGAAAAGAGAACAATATAAAAAGCATCAAATAGGCAAGGAAGAATTGAAAGTATCTTTATTTGCAGATGACATGATGGCGTACTTAGAAGACACAAAGTTTTCCATGAAAAATCTTCTCGAAGTAATAAGTAAATACAGTAAAGTGGCAGGATAAAAAATCAACATCCAAAAATCTATAGCATTTATATATATGAACAAGTTGAATGAAGTAGAGCTGAAGAAAGGAATCCCTTTCACCATAGCCACAAAATGTATAAGATACCTAGAAATAAGCCTAACTAAGGAAGTCAAAGACCTGTACCAAGAAAACTATGAAATTTTTTAAAAAGATATTGATAAGACATAAAAAAGTGGAAGGACATCCCATGTTCCTGGATTGAAAGAACTATCATAATGAAAATGGCAATTATACACAAATTAATCTATATATTTAATGCAATTCCAATCAAAATACCAGAGATATTCTTCATAGATCTAGAGAAGACAATCATAGAATTTGGAATCATAAAAGGTCTCATATTGTCAAAGCAATCCTGCACAAGAAGAGTAGAGCGAGAGGCATATCACTCCCTGACCCCAAGATAAACTATAAAGCTGTGATAATCAAAACAGCATGATATTGACACAAAAACAGACAGGTGAAGCAATGGAATAGAATAGAGACCCCAGAAATAAACTGCAAAGGTTACAGCCAACTGGTTTTTGACAAAGGATACGTCAATCCATTGGGAAAAGCAAAACTTCTTTAGTAAATGGCACTGGAAAAACTGGGTTATCCACCTGCAGAAAGATGAAAGTGAACTCCCATCTTTCACCATTAACAAAAGTCAACTCTAAATGGATCAAAGATCTGAATCTAAGACCTCAAAATATAAAACTACTGGTGGAAAATGTTGGGGAAACTCTGGGAGACCTTGGGGTAGGCAAAGACTTCTTAAATAAGACTCCCAAAGCACAGGCAATAATCTCAAAAATAGACAAGTGGGACTATTTTTTTTTTTTGGACACCACTGGGTCTGGGACACAAACAGCAGTTGACTACATGGTAGTCCAGCAACATAGCCATTATGCTAACTGCTGGTCCCAACAAGTGGGACTATTTCAGACTAAGAAATTTCTACACAGCAAAGGATACAGTAACAAGTGTGAATTGACAACTCTCTGAATGGAAGAATATTTTTGTAAAATATGTCTCAGATAAGGGACTGATAAGCAGAATACACAGGGAACTCAAGTGGCTTACTCGAAAAAAGAAATGATTAACCCAACTAAAAGATGAGAAAATGAGTTTAACAAAAATCTAAGGAAGACATACAAACAGCCAAAAAGCATATGAGGAAATGCTCGACGTTCCTCATCATAAGTGAGGTGCAGATTAAAACCACAATGAAATACCACCTTATCCCTGTCAGAATGGCAAAGATTAAAATTATAAAAATATAAAAAGTAACTTGGAGTACTTCCTTTGCTTTATCCAAGTAATTTTATGGGTTTTAGGTTTATATTTAAGCTTGTTTATTTATTTATTTACTAACAGGAGTTTCATTCACCAGACAGAGACAGAGAGGGAGTGAGAGAAAAAAGCCCTCCCTGTGGTGAGTGGTCATGCCATAATTGCTTCTCCTCCATCTCTCTCTCCTCTTGGAATTTCAGACATGCACACACCTTGTATGTTTCTCAAGGTGCTGGGTCCACGATTTAGAACCATACCATCACCCATGGAGTATCTAGCTGCCATGAAGCTTATGCTATGTTTAAATTCTGAATCCATTTTGAGTTGCCATTTATCAATGAGTGAAAGAGAATTAGTTTCATTATTTTGCAGGTGGAAATCAGTTTTACAGTACCTTGATACTAAAGATATCTTTTCACCATTGAATAGTCTTGGGATTTCATCAAATACCAATTGGACTGTATGTGCTTGACTTTATTTTGGGACTTCCTATCTGTTTAATTGTTCTATGCATCTGCTTTGTGCCAGAACCTTTACAGTTTTCTGTCATATGTGATACCACCAACTTTATTCTTTTTGTCCAGTATTTCTTTATTTCTTTGTCCAATAATTTGGCTACTCGGTATTTTTTGTCATTTCAAATAAACTTTATTATTATTTGTTTTCTACTTCAGTGAAGAATCACACTTGTACTCTGATTGGGATTGCATTAAATTTGTAGATTACTCTGGGTAGCATAGGCATTTTTTAAAAATTATTTAATTTTATTTATTATTATTGTTGTTTTTTAATTCACCAACGTGAGAGAGAAGGAAAATGAGAAAGCAAGCCGCCAGGTCCAGGACACAAACCACAGTCAGCCATGTGGGAGTCCAGTGACCTCTGACCCCAACATTAGCATTTTAACTAAGTAGATTCTTCCAAACCATAAGCTAGGAATGTCTTGCCATTTTCTGTATTTTTAATTTTTTCTGTTTTTTTGTTTATTTTTATATTATAGTTTCACTGTAATTATCTTCCTTTCCTTGGTTACATTACTTCTAAGAATTTTTTTGTGTGTGTTTGGTTACCATAAATGAGATTACTTTCATTTCTATCTCAGTACATTAACTACTACTGTAGCATACAAAAAACACTACTATATTTTGGTTTTGTATTCTGCAAATTTACTGAAACAATATATCATTATCTAATATTTTATCAATGGATGCTTTGAGACTTTCTATGTATATGATCATGTGAAAACGAGGGCAATTTAACTTTTTCCTTTCCAATTTGAATGCTTTTTCTGTCTCTTTCTTGCCTTATTATGTTGGCTAGGATTTCTAGTACTACATTGAATAAGAGTGGAGAAAATACGTGTTTCTCGTGGTTCATTTTTAAGAGGAAACATTTTTTTATCTTTCCCCATCCAAAAGGATGTTTGCTATTGGATTGTCATACATAGCTTTTATTATGTAAATAACTGTATTTCCTACATTTATTTTGTCAATCAATCTTAATCATGAAGGAATATTATACTTTTTCAAATGCTTTTTGTGCATAAATTGATACAATTGTATAATTTTATCTTTCTTCCCATTAATGTGATAAATTACACTTATTGTTTTGCGAATATTGAACCATCTCTGCATCCCTAGGATGAATCCTATGTGGTCACGATGTATTATATCTTTATTGTGTTGTTGGGATATAATTTGGCAGTGTTCTGTTTTGTGTCTATATGAACAGGGAAATTTGTGTTTTTTTGTTCAGTTTGTTTAAGTCTACCTATAATAATTACTATTATTTTAACTCACCAGAGATAAACAGAGGGGAAGAAGGAAGCAGAGTGAGAAAGCAAGTTGCCAGGTCTGAGACTCGAACTACTGTCAGCCATGTGGGAGTCTAGCACCTTAACCGCCACACCATCTGCTGGAACCTGTAGTTTTGTTTTTTAATATCACTGTAAATTTAAAAAAAAAAAAATTTTTTTTTGGAGAGGTTTTTGCTATGAGGCGTGTGCACTTGCCAGAAAGAGAGAGACAGAAAGTGAGAAATCCCCCCTTAGGGGGGATGGCCATGCTGCAATCCCTTCTCCTCCATTCTCTTCTTGGGATCTTGGGCATGCACACACACGCGCCTGGCATGAGTTTAAACCACTGGATCCAGGACTCGAAGCACAGCCCACTACATGGGAATCCAGCGACATAGCCATCACACTAACTGCTGATCCCAATATCACTATAAGTTTGTGATACCAAGGTAATAGTGGCCTTATATAATGAGTTCAAGACAATTTTATGTACTTCTATCATCTGGAATAGTTTGAGGAAAATTGGTGCTAATACTTTTTGAAAGGTTTATAGGATTCAGCAATGAATGAATGTAGACCTAGACTTTTCTATATTGGGAGACTGTTACTTACTCAGTCTCATTACTAGAGACTGGTCTGTTCAGGATTTCAAACATATGGAATGCTTAACAAAATTGTGTGTCTTCCGGGCACAATGGCCATGGTAATTTTTTCTGTTACATTCAAATTTTAGTATATGTGCTGCCAAAATTAGCATAGAAGTTGTTTTTTAAATAAATATTTTTCTACAATGCAGAAGACCCTATATTTACAAATCATTTAAGTAAATCACTTTGAAGGACATAATTTGTGAAAATTAAATTTCTTTAACCTTACTTATTTTTGCTATCAAATAGATATGACATTTATGTGAATTGTTTATTTATGGTAAAGCAGTCTTTACTTGATATAATTAGGAATCAGATCTCTTTTGCCATTTTGTTTATTGTATCTCTAGGAGAGAAAGGAAAGAGATTAAATTAGAAAACACATTTTCATTATATAATTTTGGTACAATTTAGATAGCATTTTATCTAAAGCTAAACTAGGTAGTAATCCAATAAAGAATTAGATAAGCTCTTTAATACTTACATTGAGTTATATTTCTTAATTAAGAAAAATTTTCTTCACCAGAAATAGAATTATAATGGAACATTCTAAAGCACATTATGAAAAATGTATAATATGTTATCTATAAAAATTATACCTAATTTCATTAGGAACATTACAGCAAACTGTATCTGATTATATTGCTGAGGTATTTCATCAAAAATTGTATGCATAATGAAAAACTTCTTTAATGAAAAGAACATAATGAGCCCAAATACAAATTAATAGTATTAAGATACTTTTTATAAAAATCGTTAAGCAAGTGTTCATCAGGTAACCTGATAGTTAAGGCATTGGATTCCCACATGGCAGATCACAGTTCGAGTCCCAGACCTGGTGGCTTGAAAATCATGACAGGTGCATGTGTGTGCATGCCCAAAATCCCAAGAGGAGAATGAAAGAGGTGGGACTGTGGCATGACCATTCCTCCAGGGGGTGATGTCTCACTCCCCTCCCTATGTCTCTCTGTCTATTTCTAGTGAGTGCAGGCACCCTATGGCAA